AAAAAAAAAAAAATCTTTATCACCAAATTTAGAAAATGTTCTTTTTCTGATTGTTACAGCCAAGTAGTACAGCCATATAACTGCTCTATCTTTTCATTATCGTTATTACATTTTCATGTAAACCTATACATTTATTTAGGTGATTCTTCTTGGTAGCTCTCTAGGCCACTTATTAAGATTAGGAGAAGTTGTCACAGCAAAGGACAGCTAATCTGACCCTCTTTGAAAGCAGACTGCAAGCATCTGCTTTCACAAGATAGGCCAGGGCTGGATTTTATCCTTCATGGCCAGTGGAAACTTCTCCAAACAATAAGGCTTTAAAATGAAATCCTTTTGAAGTAGCAAGGCTGTCTCTACTCAAGGGGAAATAAAAAGTTAATGAGACAACGTGGCAGGTCTTATGCTGCTGTTTGTAGAGCCATTTAAGGAACAAAATATAACTCCCTTTTTTAAAAATCCTTTTATTGTTCATTAGTTATAAGGCCATCCTTCTCCTCTACAGAGAAAGGAGAGAAGTAGCAGATACTTGGCATGTTTGCAATTTGTGCTTCTGCAGACATCCTTGGTATAAACAGAGGAAGCAGAGAGGGCCAGTAGAAAGAAAAGCAACCTGAGAATCATAGTGAACTTGGATGTAAATGTCATCTGCAGGGAAGTTTACATTTAAAAAAAAAATATCTTGCTTTCCTAAGAAGACAGTGGACTCCTCAAGAGCAAATTTTTTTTCCAAAAAGAAACAAAAAAAAAAAAACTCAAGCCTTGCAAGCCGGGGAGGCCCCGGTGAAACCAACCAAGCCTGCCGCCGGAAAGGGAAAAAAACCAAAAAAAAAAAAAAAAAAAGGAATTAAGGAAAAAGAAAATTGAAATTCAAGGGGTTTCAAAAGGCAAGAAAAAACCCCCCCCTCCGAAAATTTTCCAAGGGCCATACAAAAACAGGTAGCAAACAGGAGTTTGCTTATAGGCTATCATTTGCTGGCTCCCAATCTAGTACAAACATACATCATGTCACCCCCCTGCCAGATCTCATGCTGTCCTAAGGACCCTATAGGTGCTCAATAAATACTTGTTCACTTAGCTGTCACCGCGTAAGAGTACAGAGTAAGCCCTTTGCTATACAACACACACTTGACATTTGCAAGGGATTTATCTTGAAATCGTTGCTAATCCCCCCATCCCAAGTACCACTCTAGCAGATAATTTCTCCCATAAAATGCAGTCAAGTATAACAGAATAATTAAAGTGACCCTTTCAGGCCCGTAGTGATTCAATAAATATGGGCTAAAGTCCTTTACAAAGTGATTAAAATAAATTCTGCCACCGAAATCAATTCCCTGTCACGGTACATCATTGCAGTGATGACATTAATGATGAATTTACCTCAATCTGCAAAGCCAATCCATAGTGATCATGAGAGATGGTGACCGCTCTACCATAGAGCACCTGCATTTCCAGATAAGCAGAAGGAGAGAAGGTCCATTTCAGCAGGACGGGCCACCCTGGCAGCTGGCAAGGCCAGCCCCATGAATATTAGACACACAGAGGAGCAGAGCAGATTCTCTCAGTTGCCTCAAGAATCAGGTGTTGGACATCATGCAAGCTCTCCCTGTGACTCCAGAATCTTCCTGATGAACTTTATCACCTAAGTGGACGTTCTCAGCACTTATAAGCCATCAGCCACATGTCACAAGGTTTTTCATTTCTGGACCAGGGGGTCATTTTCAAATACCAAGAGTGTGAGTATGAAGTCCACTCGTGCTGAGATCTCCTGTCCCTTATATTGACCAGAATTTTAGAATCTTATGTCCTTTCTTGATCTCCATACTGTAGAAGAACACACACCTGCTAGCTACGGTCTACACAAGACCAACAAGATGACCAAAATAAAGGACATTAGCATTTGTAGGAGAAAAGTAAAAGACATTGTTTGGTCTTGAAAAGGAAAAATGATTCTTGCCATCGGATAAAGGGCTTTGTTTTTTGGGTTTTTTTTTTTTTTTTAGGGGATTTTGATTAGACATTGAAAATGGAGGAGTAACAGGGTCTATGTCTACATGAGAGACTCCAGGGGACCGACACATCCTTGATTGTAGGCTTGATAAAGCCTGTCACTGGTTAGCATGGGAAGAGATGGTCGTATCTGCAAATCCTAGAGAAGAAACGGCCACCAGGGTGTAGGCATCATGGGTAGTAGGTGTAGTAAGGGGCTGAACTGGTGAATTTCTTGTTTTTTTCCCCCCGCCTGTGGTATATTTCTTGATTCAAGTAACATAACTGAAACAAACAAACAAAAAAATGCAAACTACTTCCCAGGGAGTTAAATTTATCTGGAACGACATTTATTTCAGTGTAGTGACTAGTCTGTTGTTGGCCTCCAGTCAATGAACTCCCTTTTCTTTTCCTGCATTTTGCCTACATTGGAGCCTCCGGAGGCCATGAGGCAGCGAGCATTTCCTAAACTCAAATGATATCTCTCTTCAGACAGAATGTCAGACTCTTCAACTGTATTTTCAACTGTCTTGTGAGACAAAGACTAATTGGTTTGACCTCATGCTGTCGCATGTTGAGAGACACGAATCTGCAGCGCTCTTCCTTGAATTCATTGATTTCATTAAACACTGTCTGCTTGTGTTTGCAAAATGTTGTAATTTCCCAGTGATTTTTTCGAACTGCAGCACATCAACAGATTTTTTTGGAACGATGCCATTTCTTCCCTTTGATCTTATGTTTTCATCTTTTATTTCCAATAGGTCTTCTACATTAAGGCCATTGAGCCACAGAAAATATCGACATTGGGGAAAAGTAACGTGATCGTTACGGGAGCCAACTTTACCCGGGCATCAAATATCACCATGATCCTGAAAGGAACCAGCACTTGTGATAAGGATGTGTGAGTTGAAATACTAGTAATTGATCCTTGGTAATATAAAGCTAAAACCAGTGCAAGAGAATCAGTGTGATTGGAACCTTTCTATAGTCAATTCCATACACTGCCGTGAGCCAATTAGCCCTCGCATTCGACATAATTCCAATAAGTAAAATAATTTTAACAGTAAATTTGAAGTTCATTGTGGAAAAAATCTGTCCCATGTTACCTCCCCTCAAAATCTCCGTACATAATTGTTTCAAAATATCGCCTATTTGGAGCCCTGATTAATTCTCATTAAGAGAATCAAGTATGGGGGCTGGAGTTGTAGCTAACTGAGTGGTAGAGCATTTGCCTAGCACATGTGAGATATTAGGTTCAATCCTCAGCACCATATAAAAATAAAGAAAGAAAGAAAAGGTATCATGTCCATCTATAATAAAAAAAATTTTAAATTAAAAGAAAAAAACAAGTATAAAGGTTAGCAAACATTGTTATTAAAATGATGCACTTGGAAAATTAGCTGCCTACCTTGGAAATGGACAGAATTTTATGAAGCACCTCTTCCAGAATGTTCCCCAAGGCTGAAAGAAAGAAAATTTCAAATTCATTTTGTATGGACATGTCATTGTGTATAGCCTCTTTCTATTTTCTGGTTTGATTTTAGCTTCATACAGTTAAATCACTAATACATACATTAGTGATTTAAAAAAAAAAGAACAAAACACCCAAACATAAATATCTGATAGTGTGTCACTTGAATGTCATGATTTCTATGACTTCTTTCCCCCTAACTCATCCTATCAGTGAAATTTTGAGAAAAAAAGTTCAGTTGCTCACTGATGTCCTTGGTCAAATTGTTACCCCCACACACCAGGGGGGAAAAAAAGAGAGAAATATAATAATAATAACATAACAGATAATTTGAGTTTTCTACTTGTTAGTTTTTGTAATTTTGGGTTAATTTGGAGCAAAAGATGTTGCCATCTACATAAAGTATAATACTGGGTTTTTTTCCATCATGGAAATACAGTTAAGACAATCTGCTGGAGCGTGATGTTTTGGTTTCTAACTGCTAAAACAGATTTGTACAGCATTCTAATCTGCCATGCTTATTTACTGCATTTTCTGTTTTAATTCATTTGCTGCACATCACTGCCGCCCCCGTCCCCTCGTAGCAGTCAATCTGGAATATCTACCATCCCGACGAGAAGAGCTGCTCATCGGTGGCTTGCGCGCTGTACCTGAGCGATCAAGCACACATTAGAGGCCGTATCTATGCAACCTGGGTGTTCTCGTGCCATTTATCCCGGCTAAATACCTTACCATGAAAATCTTTCATTTTGTAGAGTGAAATCGGTGAAGTTAGACACCTGTGTGTTCACTGAAAGGCAATCAGCTTCACTGGAAAATAAGTCGTTTTCAGAGTATTACCCGTTTCTGATTCTTTATGCTCTCATTTCCATTCTGAGTGTGTCTTGAATTACTGCAGTTATTAAATTAAATGACTAAGAGACCTTTCTGTGTGTAGCATTTCAGTAACCACATCTGTGTGGCGAACCCAAGTTCATGAGCAGCCCACATAATACCCAGTTAATCCTATACCTGAGCCCATGCTAATCCCAAACTCCTTTAATATAGTATTTTTTTAAAATGTGCAATTATTTTGAAGAGAAAAATACCAGGGTAGCAGTGGAATGACCTACATTTCCACCTCTCTACTTCCAAAATTGATAAACAAGTTTGGATTTTAATGATCAGCCATTTGACAATGAATTTCCTAGAGCTTTGCTATGTATAGAATGTTTGAGGTAGGGTAAGTACCAACTGACTCAAATGGTTTCTTTCAATTTGCTTTCTCAGAAGGTTTATTAAAAGTGTTGAAGTTGATAAACATGCATCCTTTAAGTAGTAATTAATAGACTCTCCTATAACATAGTTCAACTAAGCATTATTCAGACACAGACCAGTCTTAAAGTGTGTTCCAGATGGTCATCGTAGGAGGCTGAGGTTACAGAGGGAATGTTGTAGAAGGCTTTGCTTTGACTCCTGAAGGGCATCAAGGACAGCTCTTGCTGGATGTCAAAAGCACCCAGAACAGTCCCAGCCAATTCCCAGTCCAGAGGCTACCAAGGGGGTAGCTTAGCCCTGACGCTGAGTGACCTTCAAACTCCTGGGCTCAGTTTAGGCTCTCTGCCGATTCCCTCTGTCTGGTGTTGGGTTTTGCCCCTCCCAGTGCTTGACTGGGGCTTCTTTTGTTTTCATTTTTTGAAAAACTTTTTTTATTATGAAAATGTTCAAACATGTACAAGATTACAAGAGAAAGGGGTTAATGAACCTCTTTACAAAGTTTCAAAAATTATCAACATTTTTTCCAGTTTCCACTCATCTATCTCATCTACTTTCTCCTGGGGGAGGTGGGTGAGTGTAGCAGCTGGAGTTTCTTAAAAGCACATCCCAGACACCATATCCCCTCACTCATAGATACTGGGTCTCTATCTCTAACAGATAAGAGTAATGTCGATACCATACTCCACAAAGTTAACCATAGTTTCTTAAGATAGTGCAATACCCATCGCATGTTCCACTTTCTATTGGGGTTTTTGGAGGGCAATAGTTACTTCCCCTTCCTTCTCCACTTCTAAGCGAAATACAAATAAAAAGACAAAAATGAACATACACACACACACACACACACACACACACGCACACACACACACACACACACACACACAAAAGAGGAACCTAGCCCCAGAACCCCAGATCATACCCCAACTGGGCAAGCGACCTTTGATGAATCACTAGTTGTCTGCAGCTGTTCTGATGATTGGTACGGTGTTGTAGTTCAAGTGCAATTCATATGCTGTCACTTTGGGCTATCAACTGTGGTCAGTTTCTGTGTCATGTAAGAGTTCTTTTCTGCCCCTTTCTAGGATACAGGTTAGCCATGTGCTAAATGACACCCATATGAAATTCTCTCTCCCATCGAGCCGAAAAGAGATGAAGGATGTGTGTATCCAGTTTGATGGTGGGAACTGCTCTCCTGTGGGAGCTCTATCCTACATTGCCCTGCCTCACTGTTCCTTCATATTTCCTGCTACCACCTGGATGAGGTATAGTCTAGATTCATGATGTTCGTCTCCTTCTGCTTATGGGTCAAATGCATAGAGATCATGGATGTCATGCAAATATATTCAGAAAGAGTAGCCACATCGTTTTTCCTCTCGCAGAGTTCCTTCTAGGATTTACTCCTAGAAACTTGTGTACCTGGCAGTCAGGTTGTTCCCACTGTCACATGAGTGCTTTAAGCACATCCTGTTGTGCTCTTAGCCATGGCTGCCAGGAAACTCACAGCTCAAATATTTGTTGAACCACAGCAACTATTCTTAGGCTAGGTTTCTGCTACCGATAAGTGACCTTCTTTGTGATGTGTCATTCCTGCTCATGATAAAATGTTCCTTTCCTACATCTTTCATTTTATAACTGTTAGAGTCAGCTGTTTTGAATGCTTTGAGTGAAAATTGGGAGCTATTGCTCTGGAAAGGAAAAGCAGTATGTACCTTTCAAAGATACTCACTAAGTGAGAGATGGAAATTCCAAAATAAATTCTTCCAGATGAATCCAATATATTAAGGAGGGGGGAAAAATTCTCTCCCTAGCTGAATTTAAATTCACATTCAGATTTTGGAATATAACTTTAAAGAGACTTTCTTCATCTGACACAGCATGAAGCTAATTTTCAAAGTATTCTCTAGATAAAACTAGGGGCTCACAAAGCTTTGGGAGAAAGGAAAAGAAAGGAAAAAAATTCACCTCTGATGTTCTTATTTAAGATTAAGTGAGAGGTGGCTGTATTAGTTTGTGAGGCTGCCATACAAAGTATGGCAGACTGGGGGTGGCTTACACAACAGAAATCTATTTCCATAGGGCTGGAGATGTAGCTCAGTAGAGCACTTGACTAGCAAGTGCTCTGGATTAAATGCCCAGTACTGCAAAAACCAAAAAAACAAACCAGAAGAGAAATCCATTTCCTCCCAGTTCTCGAGCTGGACTTCTGAGGTGGAGGTGGAGGCTTGGCTCTTCTGAGGCTTGTCCCTGGTGGCTTTTCCCTGGGCCTCCACTGGGCTTTTCCCTCTGTGTGTCTGAGTCCTAATCTCCTCTTTATTAGGCAAGTTGGATTAGGGTCCATCCCAGTAATCTCCAAATATAGTCACATCTGAGGTACTGTGGTTTAGGACAAGGGCACAATTTGGCCCACTTCAGTGGTATAAGGACATTAAAGCTTCAAAGCCAAGGCTGTTGCATGGGACTCCTCAGCTCTGGGACTGCTTCTGTCCTGTATATAGAAGCAGACATGCAAGTGGCACTTGCATGTGCTGGGTGAATCCCTCTTACCAACCTGGTTAGTCCTCACCACAAGCCTGAGAGACCTTTATGGGTCATCCATTTGGGTAGAGCATGAACCAAGGCACAGAGAGAGTTCCAGCAACATGGCCTGACTGCCAGGTGGTGTGGCCAAGGATGTTGTACCAAGCCTCCACAGTACTCTGCTTTGCAATGAGTGAGGGGGTTTCTCACTGTCCCATCACCTGTGACGTTCTTAGCCTGTGTGTCTTGGTTGCTCTGAATCTTTGTGCTTGGAGCAAAAATGGGGCTCTGCAGTCTGGCCATCAGCAGATGACGATGCTGGGACTGGTGTTCTAGTAATCATGATAGGTTGGCAGGAGGCCAGCTCAGCCCTGCCCCCTTCCAGCTGGAGGGCTTGGGGCCCAGTGTCTCCTCTCTGCCCTACACAACATAGCCTGCTGTTGTCCACCCCCTGGTCTCATCATCAGGGCTTCAGCCGGCTGTTGGACCTGACATACACAGGCTCCTGTCCCCTAGAATGAGTGTCTGGTGACCCATGAGAATGGGGACGCCAGCTGTTTATTTCACGCCCAGTGACCACTTGGTTTATATCTAATGATGCACCGAGAATACATGAGGTCAGTTGGGCTTGGTTTTGTCGAGATAAATATAGCCTCCCCTTATATGGTTATTTATCTGGTTTCCCAAATATTGGAATTTATACTTTTTAATGTTGTTTATAATTTTACTTTATCCTAAGTATTCCCTGTTTCCCTAAATAAAATATAATTGGTAGGTTGGGAGTTTGATTTTGAAAATTGTCAGATTGAAGAATCTTCATATAGATTAAATAGCAATCAAACAAAATTCTCTTCAGTTGAAACCTTTTCAAGGTACAGCTGATGATCTGATTATACGTGGTGAAGTGGCACAACAAATTCAAATTCTATTAAGGAATTTGGGCATTTTCCTAGAATTAAAATAGCATCTGACCTGGATTTTTTTTTAATTTATGTGTCTTAAAAACCATGAATTTGTGGCTAATAAACTCAAAGACTCCTAAAGTTGTTTTGCATTTGAAATTAAATTGCTTTTCTAAGCTGGGCCTGGGGCACACACCTGAAATCCTAGTCATTTGGGAGGCTGAGGCAGGGGAGTCACAAGTTCAAGGCCAGCCTCAGCCACTTAGTGAGACTCTGTCTCAAAATTTTTTAAAAAATTTAAATAATCTTCTCCCTGACATTACTGAGTTTATTATTAAATGGGACTCAATCAACAGTTTTGTTCATACATGCCAACAACCTGTTGCTTCTTTCCTTCCAGTGGTGGTCAAAATATAACGATTGTGGGCAGAAATTTTGATGTCATTGACAACTTAATCATTTCACATGAACTAAAAGGAAACATAAATGTAAGTCTTCTACTGCTTTGTCACAATAGTTATTTTCTTTTCTTCTTTTCTCTCTTTTTTTTTTTTTACTTTTTAATCCAAGTGAGTAATTATTCAGTATTTCCAATAATGAGTTTGTTTTCATGACTCTAAACTTTATTGAGGGGTATTCTTTATTTCTGTGTCTTTGGTTTTATAAACTTTTAAAATTTACCTATTTTTAAAAATTTTTTTTTCCTATTGCATGATACATACTATCTGAGCTATACCAGAAATAACAAGACCTCACACTAATAGTCAAGCATTTCGGGAAATGAACTTGGTATGACAAGGCCTGCCGTTTGCTGCTTGTGTGATTTGTGGCAAGTCACTTTAATGAGACAATGCTTATGAATATGTGTGAAAATGTTCTGTGCATGGTTGAGGTGTGATGTGAAGGATGGCATTTCTGGGCAGGGTAGGTGGAGGTGCTCCCCTTGCACAGACAGCTGAAGTTCAAAGAGGCGGGAGACCTGCTAAGGTCCCAGGAATCCCGTCACATGCTTCTCCTCCTGCCCTGGTCTCCTCTGGACCCTTCACTCTGCTCTCACCCTCCCTTGCCTTCCATCTCCCCACAGTGGAAACTGTAGGGCAGGTTGGGTTCCCCACCCACTGCTCAGTTCTCCCATCAGAGCATCAGGGTTCTCTCAGAATCTCTAGATGGAGGCTGCCAAGGTCAAGAAGGAGGAAGGAAATAAGGGACTTTAGATACAGGTTGGGGACTTCAATTGTATTTCTAAGCGCTTCCTCAATGTTCTTCCCCTTCTCTCTTCCCCTTTTCTGTCTTTGATGAGAGATATAAGGGGAACAGCCTCTCTGGGCCCCATCTGACCGCTTAGGGTAATGACAGACTTTGTCTCTACTTGGGCCCAGTGTGGCTCAGGCCTAGCTACAGGGTCTCCTGATTCATCCTAAGCACGTCTAGACATGCTTCAGAGCCAGTTCCAAGCCTCACACATGGGTCATGGGTCCATGATACGAACACTTCTAGTTGCTTGACTGACTGTCTAACCAGAGGCATGATCTAAGCATGCTAGTGGATGCTCTCCTTTCCAAATGCTGTTCCCAAATCAGGCACAATTTGTCGATCACCCACTGTAGGCAAAATATTTTTCAGAGTGCATAAACAAAAGATGAGACAAACATACTGCTTTCATGGAGGGACATGGCAAATCTATGCTGGGATTGAAAGTTGTCATCACAAGGTGACAACGAGTGCTAGGTGCTTAGTTCCCTTCCATCTCAGAGACCCTATATAGTCCAAGAAGACACTATGTGTCTCATTGAAAGAAAAATTACATATGGATGGAATTAAGACTGCTGCAGAGCTGGGCCTGTAATCTCAGCAACTTGAGGCAGGAGGATCACAAGTTCAAGGCCAGCCTCAGCAACTTAGTGAGACCCTAAGCAACTTAGTGAGACCTTGTCTCAAAATAAAACATAAAAAGGACTGGGGATGTGGCTCAGTGGTTAAGCACTCCTGGGTTCAATTCTTGGTACAAAGAAGAAAGAAAGAAAGAAAGAAAGAAAAAAGACTGCTGCAGAATATAGCAAGATGGGTAGGATTTGGATGGTGGAAGCAAGGAGGTGACTGCAGGTACAGAGGACAGTTTCCTCACCTGCTCTGGATGGGACTGTGGCTCAGGCCTGTTTAGCTGGAATCCAGTGGATGGGTCAGGGATGAGCAAGGAGGTGGCTGGGAAAACATATTGAGTTCATGCAAGAAAGGGTCACACTGAAAACCCTGCCATTAATTTTGCGGCCATGGAGAGCTTTTGAAGGTCCCGGAGTAGCGAGTGACTTGAGTACACTGAAGTCACTATTTGGCAGTGGTGCAGAGGACAGAGAGGCAGGAACTAAAAAAGGGCGGGAGCCTGGCGGAGATGCTCCTGCGGGATCCCCCTGCGTCTGAAACGTGAGCAGCTCTGGCTGGGCTGTCCGCTGGCTGTCGTCAGTGGGACGGGTCAGTGGACTGGCCATGGTGACACGAGAGAGGACCAGCTTCCCTTAGCATTGAATCAGGGTGGGGACAACAGCGTGGGAGCAAGAGCACCCAGGATGGAGGAAGGAGCTCCTCCGATAGAGTCTGGAAGAACAGCTCCACTCGAAGTTGGGAAAGAAAATAGGTTAGCCAGGAAGGTGACTGAGAAACGGCTCAAAAATGAGAGAAAAAGAGCACTGTTGGAGTTGGTCACTGGTGTGAACATGTGGGGTCTTTAGGACAAAGAGGCTGGGTGACCCCGTGGCTGGAGAACTTTCCAGAAGGCAGTAAAAAGCCAACCTGCTTGGGGCCAAGCCTGCTGAGGGGGTGGGTTCAGTGGTTTCATCTTCTCACACAAAGGTGATAGAAAATGAGACGGGGTCATTCCATAAAGTGTAAGGTGGGAGGGAGGTCTCTTGTCCAAATGCCAGCCTCAAATGTCCCTCGTCCTGCCCTTCACGCTTCAGCGTCAGAGAAAGCAAAGAGGCAGCTAGTTTCCCCACCTGAGGGCTTTCTTTTCCTGAGCCTCAGTTGTTCTTTAAACATTTATCAGCTTCCCCTTCCTCTCTGAACACCCGAAAATGACAATGTTTTTGTGTCGTTGCTGCTGTTTTTAATCAACCTGTCCATCGGGCCCCATTTTTTTCTGCAAGGTTTCCAGTTGTTCCTTCTTCACTTCTTGGGGTCCTTGTTTTCCTTTTTGACTTTGATTTTCTCCCGTCCTCCGTCTCTCCTGCAAGCAGCCTTCTCCTCCTCCCTGTGGTTTACTGACTTCTGCTAATGATCTGGAGGAGGCTCCCCAACAAACAGTGACTCAGCCCACCGCCATCAGATCAGGAGCTGGCTCTAGCCAGGGGCTGTGCTCTGTGCTCTGTTCTTCCAGAAATTTCTGGGGACTTAGCTGGACTCCCTCAAAAGACAGTTCAAGCCCTTTGGGCCAACGTCTTCCCCTTTCTGGAGCTGCATGAGCCTCTACAGAGCCTATCTTGCCATTGCATAACCTTCTGACAGCTTTCATTATTACAGGTTTAGTAATAATGTGTTGAGAGGCTGGGGTTGTGGTTCAGCAGTAGGACACTTGCCTAGCACTTGCGAGGCACTAGGTTCGATCCTCAGCACCACATAAAAATAAACAAATAAAATAAAGGTATTGTGGACAACTACAACTAAATATATGTCTATATTCTATATCCATCTATCTATCTATATCTTTAAGAAAATAATAATGTGTTGAGTGCTAACCATGTGCCAGACGGCATCCTAAGCATTTTTGTGTGTGTGTAATCTCTTCCAATGTACCCTTCCTTGAATTGAATGAGAACTTATCTCATTTGATTTAATTTAGGATTCACTTAATCCTCTGAGGTATACGTGGTGTTGCTACCCCCATTAGACAGGCAGGAAAACAGAAGTTCCAAGAAGTTTGGTTGCCTGGGTCACTTAGCTCTTAGAGACCAGAGCTGGGGACCTTCGGTTATTAAGTTGCTCTTTGCTTCTCTCCCAGGTCTCTGAACACTGTATGGCGACTTTCTGCATGTTTTTGGCCCCCAGCTTAAAGAGTTCAAAGGCGCGTACGAATGTCGCTGTGAAGCTGAGAGTACAAGACACCTACTTGGACTGTGGAACCTTGCAGTATCTCGAGGACCCCAGATTTACAGGGTATCGAGTCGAATCTGAGATTGACACAGAACTGGAAGTAAAAATTCAAGTATGTTTCTCTGCTCTCCGGATGGGATGCTCCCACGCCCAGGCTGTATAGGTGTGCTGTGCTGCGACTTTCCACGTGTGTCCTAATTTCTTCATCTTTGTTTTGTTTTTGTTTTTGTTTTTTTCACAGAAAGAGAATGACAACTTCAACATTTCCAAGAAAGACATTGAAATCACACTCTTCCATGGGGAAAATAAGCAATTAAATTGCAGTTTTGAAAATATTACCAGAAACCAAGATCTCACCACCATCCTTTGCAAAATCCAAAACATCAGGAACGCCAACAGCATCGCCACTTCTTCCAAGAAAGTCCGTGTGAGTCACCTGGCAGTGCCACCTGCTATCTCTACCTGAGTTTTGGTAGCTCAGTGGCTAACCTGGGGGCCAGAATGGAATCTTTCATGAATCTTTAGATCATCACTTTAAATAGAACAAACAAAGCTGGTACCACAAGCCCAAGCATAATTTTTTCCAAAATAGCTGGCACAATCCACCAGTTTTCCTGTTTGAATGTCAAAGCATTGAACACACCATTGTGTATAATACTAATGAGTCTTGATAGCTTTTGTTCTAGCCATACATTTAGACCGTAGCATCTGCGAGCAAAATCTCCAGACCCACTGACAAATGAGTTGTCATTCTTTTCCCAAATGTGGAGGTGACATGTCTGAGCAATAACCCCAAACAGGGGCCTTTTCTGCACACCCAGAGTAATGTCAGAGTCTGAGGGAGACCTGGTAACCTGTGGGTCACGAGCCTCTTCCTTCCCCATGAAGTCATGCTTCCTGGCAGGTTCCTTCTTTTCCCAGATATTTGGGACCTATCACTGCAGTGTGGATTTGTGTCCCACAATTAAGATGTGGGACCACTGAGAAGGGAAACATATTAGAAGTCACCCTTTCTAACCTATGCCGCATTTGAGGGTCTGCAAAGTCTATATGAAAAAATGCTTTAAGGAAATGGGGATGTCATCTCCATGGGAGAGCATTTGCTTAGCATGTGCAAGGCTCCGAGTTCCCGTTCCATCCCCAGCACTGCCAAAAAAAAAAAAAATATGATCTATAGTCATAAATAATTGGATACAGGACAAGAAAAATGAACATATGAGATTGGAAGGCAAAAACATCCCAGCTGCATCAGTTAAGAGCTGTGTGTCCATAGGTAAGTCACTTGACTTCCCTGTGCTTCCCTTCATTCATCTGGTTAAGGGGGTAACAATAGCTATAAATAGACACCAGCTGGACACAGGCCTTCCCACCTTCATGGTGGCTGGAAGGAGTGATGCTAATGTTCCTCCCCATTCACAGCACAGTCCGAGTGTCTACACTGTGATGGGGACATTATAGCAAAAACCCCAAACCTGTCCTTATGGCACTTACCTAAAGAGACACGTAGCTCAGAGAAAAGGTTAGAATGTGGTGGGTGGGGGCAAACATTAGGGAGGAAGATGAAGTGAGGGGAATTGAAGCGGAGGTGGGGAGTGTCCAGTGGTGACACCTGAGCAAGGGCCCCTGGGGAGGAAAGAGAGCTAGCCCTCGGGGAGCTGAGCTGCTGTGTCCTGGGCAGAGGCTACCACAGCTGCAAAGGGCCTGAGGCCGCAGCCTGCAGTGTAGTTGAGCATCAGTGTGGCTGGAGTGGAGGGAGCAAGGGGGAGCTCTCTCAGCAGGTTAGAGCGTTCACAGGGAGAGCGGGAGATCTTTAGGACCTGAGGGCCATGGCAAGGGCTTGGCTTTGGAGCTCTGGGAAGCGGCTTTGAGCTTTGAGCAGGGGTGCCATGAGCCAACGTACTAAAAGGGTAGAGTGCGTTTAGCCCACAACAGCCCAGCGCAGCATCCCATTTCAGAGATGAGGAGACTGAGGACTAGTTGGTAACTAACTCAAGATCCTGCAGCTAGTCAGGCTGGGAGGGAGAACCTGGGCTGGCTGGTCCAGAATCCACCCCTCCTCTTTGCTCGGTGTCTCCACAGGAGCAACCACGGTTCTAAGCACGGAACTGTGTCTTAATGCGTCTGTGCACACCTACAGAGAAAGAAGGATAGAGAACAGTTTTTCCCTTTTCAGGTTTTATGAAATTTTCATTACCCTCTCCCCACCCCACCCCCAAAACAGCTAAAGCTGGAGAAAGCTCTCAGGGTCGGTCTGATCGACATCGTCAAACTGGTTTTCACCAGAAGATGCTTTATTCAAAATCAACCCACCAAGGAGCAGAGGCGGAGAAAGAACGAAGTCCAGTTGCCTTGGTAGAATAAAAGGCAGGGGGGCTTCTGCCTCTTTATTGCACCACTCCTGCAATTTATGGCTCTCAGGGCAACGGGGGCCAGAGTTTGAAGGCCACAGGTCTAGTCTTCACGCCTCAGCTGACGCACCAGGAAACGGAGGCATAGTAGATGTTCTTGATTTGCCCAAGGACACTTCGCTAATCTCTCTCCGGGGTGGGATTTGAACTCAGAATCCTACCTCACTCACTGCTCCTTTTTGTATCTTGGGGGACACCACTTGGGGGACGAATGACGTACACAGGTATGATGCTCAAGTCCCTTGGGCCTAACGACACTCTCTGTCCCAATAGGTCAGACTGGGAAACTTGGAGCTTTATGTGGAGCAGGAATCTGTCCCTTCCACTTGGTATTTTCTGATTGTGCTCCCCGTCTTGCTCGTGATTGTCATTTTTGGTAAGTGCCCTGTGTCATTTTGTCCGAGAGATTATTCCCCGGGGCTTCTGGTCAGGCAGGCAGACTTTCAGCTTTTAGGATCTGTTTGCTTCAATTAAGTGTTAACGGGTGAAAACCCAAATCAAAACTTGGGGATGGGAATGATAGGTGCACATAGAGGGCTTTGGAAAGATATTTTTTTTAAGGATGCTTCATTAATAGAAGATGGTGTCTTGGTACTTAAGACATATGATCCACTTTGTTTCCCCCGTCCTTTGACTTGCGATGGGAAAATGTCCATCCACGTTATTCCTTCAGCGTTCTTCAGGGACTATGGATTCCCAGGATTTGGTCACCTCGTCCTGCCTTCTCCCTGTACCAAAGACCACCCCTACCCAGCCCTGCTTTTCCTGACAGAGCTAGACTTCGCCAAGTGTGCTCGGTCATCTTTTGCAATGTTCCAAGGTTCCTGTGAACACAGGGCTCCCGTGGTGACAGTCCCCTGGCTGAATTGGGCCCAGGGTGTGTTTTGTTGGGCTACACAGCATGTTTTAAAACTTGAAGGAAGTTGACAATATTTTAAAATTATTTTAAAGTTTTTTCTTGGAAGTTTGAAAGAGCTGAATCACTGGGGCCCGTAGGTTTCTGGCAGGAGTTCACTAGAGCTTTGTAGGGGCGCCCCCTGGAGAGAGGACACGGGCTCCCCGGTTTCACCACAGTCTCGTCATCTCCCCCGAGATCACTCGCCCCCATCCGTGGACCTGCTCCCTGTTGCCATTGAGTTTGTGACCTCTGGTTCTGAGATGCTTTTCATTCCAGTTCTATTTCCTCTCCTTTTTAAAAGAGGTCTTCTCACCTACTGATGGAGTACCTCCTATTTGTCGATGCAGCACAAGCATTGCCTTTCTAATATTGTAGGCTACTAGAGGCAGTTGCTGAAGTTTTCCTGGTATCTACTCCCTATCTCCCTTGTTCATTTGTTCGTTCATTCATTCATTCATCTCTGCATCCATTCACCTTGTTTTTTTACTGAGCACCTGTTATGTTGCTGCTAACTGTGCAAATCTCTGGCTCGAGAGATGACTTACAGCCTTGTCCTTTGCCTTGAATAGTTCCCAGTCCAGTGAAGGAGAGAGGGGTGTGTTTGATTAATAGGCCTCATGGAATGCATTCACTTTTCAGAGATCCCGTTTTGTCCTGTTGATTAATTCAGGTATCCTTTATGTTCTCCCCAAGTGGCCCAGCTCCGTCATCTACCTAGAATCTCAAACTGGGCTTGATATTTTTAATAAAGTCTTGGCTGATGTTAGCTTCAGCTAAGAAGGTCACTTGTAAAGTCCAAATGCTGGCCTCTGCTTTGAGAATCCTCTGTTCTTAAGCAACCTCATACACATACTAGCCTCAGCAGAGAGTCACGTCAGCTCAGTGATTCTCTGAGCTCTGTGTGGCTCTCCATCCCACTCCCTGTGCTCCATTTGTAGAGGTTGTTTCTGTTCTGTAAGGTGAAGTAGGCTCACTGTGGCACATTGCTCTGTTTGTGTCTGCAAAGCCCTTCACAGTGCTCATCCCCTCATCCCCATTCCAGGGAGCACGTTGTCACCAGCAGCTTGAGTAAGTATACTCTTCAGTCCCTCCATCCTGTCATGAGCAGACACACTAAACGCACCTGACCCAGGCCTGCCATTTCAGAACCCATAAGTTTTGCCATGAAAGGCTCTACGACCTATGGATGTGGCCCGCTAATGCCCTTTGCATGCCTGAGCCAGTGTTGCTCAAAGTGCAGCCTGAGGAACCAAGCCACAGTCCTGGAAAGGGGTTCTGTGGCCCAGTAAGTTTGAGAGTCCCTACGTACTTAGCCCTATCTTGGAGACACACAGTGCATGTTTTGGTTAGGGCTGCGACCTCTGTGTCGCAGTCCCTTCCGGTACCATTCACACCTACAGGTAGCAGAGCCCTTTTATTTTGTAATTTCTGTTAAATGAGGAGAAACTTTTTCTAGAACAATATTGAGAGTTGACAGTTTGTTGAGTACTCATTCTCCTTAAAGATTCAGTTCTACATGCTTTCAATGAGTTATTTCCTGTCAATATCACTATAAAGCAGGCACTCTTACAGATAAGGCAACCAGCCACAGAGATCCTAAGGAACTTATCCAAGGTCACACAGCTAGCAAATGACAGAGCAGGGACCTGAACCAAAGCACTGAATCCATTCTGCTTACTTCCTCCACAGCAGGGTCAGAAGCAAGATGGGGCAGAGAAAGAAGCAATGTTTAGATTTGGGGGGGTCTATGGCTTCCCCATTATGTCACCCCATTAGAGCTATGCGAGTTTGGCTTAGGTAGCCAAGGGAGGATCCGTGGTTTCTTTCTGCATTTGCCTCACAACTGTTATTTCTCCAGGGATGTTTAGAAACATTGAAAAAAGAATGGAACAATATCAGTGGCCTGTGGCTGTAGGGAAACGTGGCCTGTTTCATTACTTTTCAGCCAGCTGGGATCTTTGGTTACAAGCGAAGGTTATTTGATTTAGTTTTCACTTTTAAAATGAGTGGATTTTTTTTTTCTTTCTGTAGCATCTTCCTCTTGACAGTGACCTCTCCCTGGGAAATCTTCCTGATATCATCCAGCTCTTAAATGCTCTTTTCTAGTTTCCCTCTCTCCATCTCTCCACCCCTGATTCTTTTCCTCCTTTTCGGTTTTGTCCTTTTAAATGTACACGTCTGCACGTCTGCCTGACGCAGCACCTCTGTCTCCCCAGCGGCCGTAGGGGTGACCAGGCAGAAATCAAAGGAACTCAGTCGCAAACAAAGTCAACAGCTGGAGCTTCTGGAAAGCGAACTCCGGAAGGAGATCCGCGATGGTGAGTCCAAAATTTTATTCGTAGAAAAACAAGCCTATTTTACTCGTATTTTAATTTTCACCCTTACACGGCGGCCGCAGTAGTGAGAACTGTTTGTGTAATAGAAGACCAGAGAACAGCAGGGCCTGGGCCTGGCTTTGTGTTTTATTTTAGCTCTTCTCTGCAGCCAACCAAGTAATTATCTATTGTTTCTTCTTTAATGAAAATCAAGGTCATACTCCGTGTTAGACAAAACAGCAGAAGATCTTATCCATTGTTTGTGGAGTTAAAATATTACTCTTGGGATTCTGTTTTGCAGGCTTTGCTGAGCTGCAGATGGATAAATTGGATGTGGTTGATAGTTTTGGAACTGTTCCCTTCCTTGACTACAAACATTTTGCTCTGAGAACTTTCTTCCCTGAGGTAAAGAAGCATTGATCATATTCCTAAGGCTGAGTCTTGAATAATAATGAAGGTGTTTGCTTTTCCGAGGCAGCTGTAGATAATACACTTGGTTCAAAAATCTAGGCTTAAGTTGGAGCAGAGCAGGAAGCCAGATAATTATTAATTGCATTGATCAGGGTCAAAAGCATCGATGGGTCACTGGTGATTAGTCTTTGTCCAGGAACAAAAACCTAGTAGGGCTGGAAGTTCAAAGGGATGATTTTTTTTTTTTTTTGCTTTATTTTACTACCAGTTTAGCACTGAATTGGTAGCAGGGAAGTGAGCCAATTCATTTAGAAATCAATAAATTGTGGGGCTGGCCAATTTGTTGTGTTTATGTGCTTGACTTCCATTGCAGCTACTAGATTATTCACTATTACTTCTCAATTGGAAGTGAGGAGTATGCTCAGCCAAAAGGAAGAAAAGCAGACATGGATGGAGTTTGGGTTGTGGATAAAACAGGCATTTTAGCAATGTTTATGCTTGTCTTGGGCAGTTTTTCTTCAGCTGACCCATTTGTATTATGCTTGTTGAGTAGAAACAGCAACACGAAATGATTAATTGTTGTAGAACTCAGAAGAGTAGTCTACTTAGCCTTTTGGGTTTTGGGTCTCACCTCTGTTCAGACACCTCCATTTCCTCACCCACTCACTCAGCCTTCTTCATTTACCCTCCCAAGACTTTGGCGAGGTCCTCACTCATCCTCTGTATCATCACCTCCACGTCTGGATGCCCCAGTTCTGCCATCTTGCTTTTATTTTCTGGTCCGGAACTGGTGACCCAACCACAGAGACCCAACCTCTGGAACCCATCAGCACTCATGTTTCAGTCTAGACTTCTAAGCAAAGCCAGAAATCTCTCCAGGTCAAAGGAGAGTTTGTATCACCTTACCAGAAGTTTGTCAGCTACCTTTGGCTAGAAGCCTAGAGTTCAGAAACCCAGACACATGCACTAAGCAGTTTCCAGCTTCTCCATAATTCTAGAAGTGGACACCATGATGTGCGATGCTGTGTCTGGAGGTTGGGATACCTCCATAAAACACCCACATGTTTTTGGAGCCAACCCTTAGTACTGTAAATCAAGAAGGCTATAAATAAGATTTCAACTTTTTGTACTTGAATTTTTTTTTTTTTATCTTATCCTCCAAGATGACTGGGCACCAAGATTTGCCATTTGCTGCCTCATCCATTTCTATGGCAGTACTCTGCTCAGGCAGGGGAGTGCAAGTCCCTGAATTCAGATGACTTCGCAGGGCCTCAGCAAAGGTTGCAACTTGAGTCCGATTTCCCAGCAATCTGAGATCCCCATTAAGAATTTAATAGCAATAAAATAACAGAGATTTCGACCATCAACAGGAGTACTGTGTGGGCTTTTACAGTTAATGATTGCCCCTGAGTGCTGAATAGAATAATCTGTGGCCCGAAAAAAAGAAATCTTCCTATCTTCTAAATTCAGTAATCAAGAGCAAGACAGAGTGACCAGGGTAAAGGAACACTGTTACAAGCTGAATGTCTCAAAAAAGAAAAGAAAAGAAAAAAATCCCAGCAACAGTGCTGCATGACTTTGGAGATGAGAAATAGTTGAAAGGGAACAACTGATTTAACTCCAAATTATGTGTAATCTTGAAAGGCACCTGGGAAAAACCATAAAAATTGAAGTCAGAAGGATCATTAAAAGAGAGGACATGGGAGAAACAAGCATTAATTTGTCACAAGAAAATCTGAGTCAAAATTGAATTTATAATAATTAAGAAAGGAGAGAGAGAACAGGGAAACATTATATTAGGATAACGCCACTTGAAATGCACCCCAGGCTGCAGATAAGTCCTCATATTAATTAGGCGCTTTGCTGATTGATCAGGAGCCAAAGCCCCTAGGCCTGGAGCTTGGGTGTTGGAAAGACTTGACTGATTGACACCTACAGACAGCAGTAGGCAGAACGCAAGGGAAACAGGTGCCCAGGCAGCCACAGCTCCCTGGTTCTTTGCCCTGCCTGTTGATTTTGGCTTTGATTGCTTTGCTTCTGATAGCAACTCTTCTTTGATTTGCCAAAAATAGGGGAAGAAATAAGGATATGCAGAAGCTCTACCCTCCTGGAAAAAGGGGAATCCCAATGGAAGGAGGAAGGCCTAGAATGCAGCCAGCCAGGTCAAGAGTCAACCTGGTTATATTTAAGGTCAAGAGTCAACCTGGTTAGCGGAGCATAGAGGCCCACGCCAATAATCCTAGCAGCTTGAGAGGCTGAGGCAGGAGGATTGAGAGAGAGTTTAAAGTCAGCCACAGCAACTTAGCAAGGCCCTTAGCAACTTAGTGAGACCTTGTCTCCTAAATCAAAAATAAAAAGGGCTGGGGATGTGGCTCAGTGGTTAATGCTCCTGGGTTTAATTCCTGGTACCCAAAACTATATAAAAAAATTTTTTTTTAAAGAGTCAACCTGTTTAAACTGCCCATTTATGTGAAATTGATTCAACAGGAAAACAGTAGAGACTAGAAAATGAAATCCAGGATCAGTTTAGTTTTTGGTTTTGCTTCTTGCTTTTTTCTCCCCCCTTTTTTTCTGAGGAAAATATGACCACAGGGGGTGGGAGAGAGAAGAAAAAGAAAACTGAATGTTTGAGTTTATGTTCCATTAAGTTGATTCATTTAAAGTGATACTCAGCATGCTTTTAAATTTTAATTATTGATTGCACTAAGATTTATGATACATTTTTAAAAACTCAAAAGTTTATGTTTAGGAGCTCTGTAGCATAGTACATAAAAATATATTTCAAAACCAATGGGATAAGAGCATCATCACCTAGTTTGCCAAATTCAGGATTTCAGAGGACACCACTAGCTGACATGGATCATTTCATTTCCACACTAAGCCAGCAAGGTGGGAGCCTTGATCGTCCCCATTTTACATATGAGGAAACTCAGGTGCAGAGAGGTTAAGTAACTTGTCCAAAGTCATGTGACCTGTATGAGATAAAACCAGGACTGGGCCCCAGGTAGTTTGGCTCCAGTAGCTACACTTTTAACACCCCTCCTACCTGCTTCCCAGTGACAATGTGTACCCAGACAGCAGATGCTACTTAGCTTAGACTTGTGAAAATTTACCGGCATCATTTAGTGTGTATCCTTGGAAGGTAAATGCTTGAGGAGTGGTCTGACATTTGCATAATCTTCTTCCAACACCACTTCTTTAACTTTCGAGTCCATTCTTTCAAAATGCAAGATGATACTTTCATCCACCAAAAAATGGGACTCACGTGCAATGACTGTTACTCTTCTTAGAGGCTTTCGGATTCTTTGGTGTTTCTTGAGAGCTGAATAATAATTATTTATTATGTATTAGAGGTTTTGTAGCAAGCATATGCCCGGGGGCTCTTCAGATTAGCAAATAGCATCTCTACTTTATTAAAACAGACTTGGTATTATAACAAAAATACACTATTCATTTCCTTTGGATGTTATGAATAATAAAAGTATCTCCTTCCTCTCAGTCAGGTGGCTTCACACACATCTTCACCGAAGATATGCATGTAAGTCTCTAAGTTTTCATTTTTAGCCCAGTGACTGCCTGACTTTCATAGTGTTATCATCAACATTATCATCTCCATTATTATTGCTTTGAATTTTTATTGTGGGTTTTTTGGATCATGAATTCAATATTAAATAATTCATTGTCTTGGAAAACCCATTGTGGAATCTACTTTCTAACTTTAAACGTTCAAGTATATTATTATATTATATTATATTCTTTGGTGTTTTTTTTCTTCGTTCCCCCCCCCCCAGAATAGAGATGCCAACGACAAGAATGAAAGTCTCACAGCTTTGGATGCCCTGATCTGTAATAAAAGTTTCCTGGTGACTGTCATCCATACACTAGAAAAGCAGAAGAACTTCTCAGTAAAGGACAGGTATTAGTCAATTCTTTTCTATTTTGAAAGCCCCTTAAGCAGAGATGATAAAAACCTGAGCCCCTTATTTCACTTCCAAACCACTTCTGAACCTGGACACACTCTTCCAGAGGCCTTCTGTGGGAGCCCTTAGCAGCCAGGGTGTCTGCAGTCCCATCACACCATCCCAACACATATTTTATTTTGAAGACACACATGCACACAACAACCCCCTCCAAACCCTGAAAAACCCCTACACTGAGAAAACAAATTCTCAATCAGAAAAGCAGAAGTATTCTTTTTAATTTTTTTTTAAAAAAAACCCTAAACATTTGGGAAAGGATTCACTTCTTATTACCACTCTAGTTTAAGTGCTAAAAACATAGAAAATGTCCTAAAGTTGGTTTTATGACAAAAAGATAGTAGTGGTCAGAAACTACATATTAAAACAATATGGCACTCGAGAAGAAGCACCCCCTTGCCCAGTAAGCATCCTTGGAAGCCACTATGAGTGTCCACCCAAGCCAGGAACTGGTGGTTAATAGGGGCTCTGTTTTTAAACAGGTGTCTGTTTGCCTCCTTCTTAACCATTGCTCTGCAAACCAAGCTGGTCTACCTGACCAGCATCCTGGAGGTGCTGACCAGGGACTTGATGGAGCAGTCCAGTAACATGCAGCCTAAACTCATGCTAAGGCGCACAGAGTCCGTGGTTGAAAAACTTCTCACAAACTGGATGTCCGTCTGCCTTTCTGGTTTTCTTCGGGTAAGTGCCGTATCCTCAGCAGTGTCAGAGGTAAGACAATAGGCAGTTATTTTTAGTAGATACGGATGTCTTTGCCTGAGAAAGTCTTGAATGCACCATAGTGTCAGCATTTAACCACATTCCATCCTGGTCCTTACTGGGAGCAGACAGAGGGGGAAATAAAAATCACTTTCTCTGTAACTGGCCTATGCAATTGTGATTCATTTAGGATTTTCTCAGGTAAGATTATCCAATGAGCTCACCTTCCCAGCTTTAACACCCAGGGCCCCGCCTGCCCATTTAAGAAAATGTACTGGGAAGAGGAAATAATTCAGGCATTGACAAAAACACTGTCTTCAGATCCTCTGGAGCATTTTAGAAGTACCATTACCTACCAATACACCATGAGCTAATGACAGCCGATTCTTCCCAGCCATTCCACGTTAAAGAAGTCCCCAAAGAGCCTCCTCCCTCTAGAGTTCACTGTCTTGGAGTGATTGACTGAACGTGGTTGCAATTTAATTGAATCTGAAAATCTTTTCACAAGCAAACTTTCCATAGATTCCACGGTTAGTAGAGTAGGCTGGTGGGCTTGATCTGAATCTAGACTTTACCACTTACTTGTTGTGTAACCAGTAGAATTGGAGAAAAGATGACTATTTTGGGACTGTTTTGAAGCACAGATGAGAAGATGTATGCAATCCCTTAGTACTGAGCAAGCATTCCATAAGTGCCGGCCATTATTATTATAAAATATTAATATGAAAATAAAGGTATGCCTTGAGCTCAATCTTTCTTTGGTCCTCTGAGGACCCCGGTACAGAAGGTTCTTATCCTTCTTTAGTTTTACCAGCCATCCAGATTCCAGAAAAACTGCATAATTGTGTATTTGCAGCTAGTTTCAAAATCTAATTAAACTCTGAATAAGATACACTGCTCTGCCACAGGTTTTAACAGTGCTACTTAAGTTTAGATCCAAAAGCAGCACTTTAAATAGACTGTGCTTAGTTTAATGTTTAATGCAATCTTAGAGTAGATGCACAATTTTTTTAAATTTTTTTTTTTTTACCGACTCCTTCTTCTCCTGAGGCAATGCCCGTTTATTAAGATTAATGAAATCTGCCTTCTTTTCTGTTTACTTGGTATAAATCATCATATGCTTTGGGGAGGTGTCAGGTGGTTATTTTGGGTGTGAATATTTTTTGCTTCCCACTATTCTTGTTTCAGCCAAAACTGCTGCTGATCAGAGGCGGGGAGTCTCTCGCCCGGTTCCCTGGTCTTGGTCTTCAGAGGGCATCTCCTGCCCCCCAGAGTTCCGCTAAACCCAAGGCTCATGGGCTGGCCCAGTAATCCCCGCTTTTCATAAGCTCCTCAGGGTAATCCTGTGTGCCCATATTTGAGAACTCCTGAGGGAGCAGAAAGCACTGGACTGGGGGTCTTGTTAGAAGCAATGAGGCTAGCAGGGTGCCTGGGCCAGCTCTTTCCATCCGGGCATCCCTTTTCTCTGCACAACAAAAGGGGTGTGGTCATTGGTTTTAAATTCCCTAAATTCCCCTCCAGCGCTGTCTTCTGGGATCTTGTGATGCTTACTCTGCGCTCTCAAAGGCTGCTTTGGGGCTTGAAAGGGGTGAGGTATTCAGAAAATCTGGGCTTCCAGCCCAAGCGGCCCCTTTGAGCAAAGCATTCTGGGTCAGGATTTCGGTGCTGATTCAAGAGTGTGCGGGGAACACTTGGGTGACTAGTGGGAGGCTCAGCTCCCCAGAGGAAGTGGCATCAGGCCAGTCGGTGATACTTGATACTTTCGCTTTCAGTGGAATAATTCCTTCTGGGGGGGGGGGCTGCAGAGCCATCTCAACCAGGTGCCAGGGGGTTGTGGGCCATTGATGGCCCTGGGCATCCCACCCGGCTCCACAGATGTCCAGTGGGCAGCACTAGCTCCACCAGCGCCAGGTAATTTCCTCCTCCAAAACGCTAAGGACTGGTGGGGAAAACAATTGGTGGCTGCCATTTATTAGCGTGCCAAGCATCATAGAGCTTTGCTCACCTTTTCTCATGTAATCCCCTCACAGTCCTGTGAGGCAAGTGCCCTTCTGATCATGTTGCATTTGGGACAAATGAGGCACACAGAAGAGGTGGCACTCTCTCGGGTCCTGCTGGTGGTGTGGAACAGCATCAGAGGCTAGACCTCTTAGCCACCCCACTGTGTGCTGAGAAGAGAGTCAGCCCTGGTCTGCTTGCGTGCCTAAGCCTAGCCCCTGCGGGAGGGGAGTCAGTCCCCAGCAGGTGTGATTCACCTAGAGCTTGTGTTCAGGGGTGAGAAAGAAACCTCATGGCCCTCTGGTTCCCTAAACTGACCACGCAGCAGAATCCCCCACCCCACCCCTGGAAAGGTTTGAAAACTATGGATGCCTGTGTCTCCTCTCCAGAAAGGAGAGGAGATGAGTGTTTGGGCAAAGTCTTAGAGGAAATGAATTGGCTTGTGGTCCAGGGAAAGGAATAACCCAGACTACTAATGTGGGGCCCAGAGGGCCCAGGCATCTGAATTTCTACTAGTACCCCAAGGGATTCTGGTGATGACTAGCCAGGTTTAGAACCTTGAATGTGGACAGCAGCATAATCCCAGATGTCACTAACTCAGTGTGGTTAGTCTGAAGGATCCTGACCAGAGGACCCTGGAGTCAGTAGCTGTCCCTTCACACGGTCCAGGAGACCCAGCCCCCCATCCAGTCTCTGGGCATGCCTGGTCCCCTGCACGGAGGTGCTCAGCCCCATCTCTGATCTGCTCTGGAGGAAGAGAGAAGTTTGGCTCTGGGTTTGTGGTCAGGACATTACCCAAGGGGGTGGGGAGAAAGAGCAGAGAACAGTGAATTTGTGAACCACCAAATAAAGGAAGTTTCTCATGAGCGTTAGAGATCATATTCGGTGCCGCCTTGGAAACATTCCATCTCTTCCCTGCACTGAAGAAGCAACTCAAGGTTGTTTCAGTAGGGGAGACCGAGGGGGTGAAGGGAGCCCAATGGAGGGTGGAACATGGGAGGAGGACACTGGCAGAAGGGGCAAGAGGAAGACTCAGGGCTGGGAAGGGCAAATGTGCTTGCAGTTAAGAATAAAGGAAGGGATAGGATGCGAGGAGGTCCCCAGGAGACTTCAAAGAGCTCATAAGTAATTTACCTGTTCAAGAGAAAGCATGTGAAAGTCAGTGGGATCGTTTGAGAACTGGGCATGATGGCTGTAAAGCTTGACTTTTGTAAACTGGTGCTTCCAGCCATAGCCACGTGGCTGCTTTTTATCTTCTCTAAGGCACTTTGACTTCCTGGCCCCGTCACAGTTCTTCCTCCCCCATGTATCAGCTGACTACCAGTGGATCATAGAAGGTTTATTATTTAGCAAACACTCTCTAGCTGACCTAGGGCTACATGCCTTGGGAGGATGCCGTGGAAGCAGAACACAGCCTCTGGCTTGAGCTGCTCAGAGTCCTTCCCAACAGAGAGTAGCTACCTGTTTGAGGTATTTTAGGAACAGCCTGGAGGAGGCAGCTCCCCATCCAGAAAAAGAGCATATGGCAGAAGTTTGGAATCAGAAACCATCAGGACAGGGCTGAGTGTTTGGGCAAAGTCTTAGAGGAAATGAATTGGCTTGTGGTCCAGGGAAAGGAATAACCCAGACTACCTCTGTGGCTCAGTAGAAGCATAGGTTGGGATTGTGAGGAGGTATCCTGGGACAGCCAGGGACAGGCCTGGCACATGGGGAGGAGACAAGGCTGCAGACAGTTTAACTGAAGGTCAGTGCCCTCGTGAAAAGCTGTTCACACACATACACACACACACACACACACACACACACAAAAGAAATCATAAAAAACCCTCCTTGGCAAATGTATTAATGTTCATATATTCATCCTTATTACCAAGGCTAATTATTGTGCATTTTTTAAAATGTCATTTATTTTTGGTTTGCTAAAAGCAGTTAAATAAAAATGTAAACACAGGTTAATCTCAACATCTACTGACTGTTCCTTGGCAGTAACCCACTGGTGAGCATGGTCTACCATGTATGCACTTAAACTCATGGAAACAGAATTACAGGGGTGTGCTGGTGCAAATGGATGCACGCATGTGCAAATGCGCATATGCACCGGGGAAGGAGAGGAGGCGGTTTCCTGGGTTTTGCTCTCAATCCCAAGTGAAGCAATATGTATTTTCTTGGGAGTTTCATGTTGATTGTTAGAAAACACTGCCTCCTGTCTCTTGTCATATTGCCATAAATTGAAACTTTAATTCTTTGGAAAGTACAGTGGCTTCCACAGAAAACTAACTGTTGCTTTTGCATCTTTTCCAAGGAGACTGTTGGTGAACCATTCTATTTGCTGGTGACGACTCTGAACCAGAAAATCAACAAGGGTCCAGTAGACGTAATCACTTGCAAAGCGCTGTACACCCTTAATGAAGACTGGCTGCTGTGGCAAGTTCCCGAATTCAGTACTGTGGTATGTTTGCCATAAAGCACTGTATCCAGACTCAGAAGTCCTGGCTGGGAAACAGGGTGGGTGTAGAAGCGGGGTGGGTCACTCAAAATGAACTGACACCCTTTATGACAGGAAGCCTCATACGTTTAGTTAATTAAAAGCAGTAGTTGATAAAATATTAACACGTGTTCACATAATAGATTCTAATTACTCGGATTGGGTGAGAAAGCATTGTAATGATGCCTGGGGTACTCATCAATTTCCAAAGATTTTAATATCAGGATTGCTTATAGCTTTCAGCATCATCAAAGGAAATGCAGAGCACTCCCTATTCAGCACTTATAATTGCAATCAGAATTTCTCAAATGGCTCTGCTCTGGGAAGACAATGTGTGAAGATATATTTCAACCAAATTGAGGCCGTCTTATTTTAGAACGATAACACAAGACAAATTCCACTGCGTTCCCCATGCAACATGACGCCCTTACTTTATTTTCATGGATTAGTTACAAATGTTTGGTGTCATGCACTTAATGTACTGTGATCTCATAGATATTTTTAGAGGGACGCTGTAAATCACTGCAGGAGGATGACTGCCTGGCTGCCGAGGGTTTTACCCATCAGAGAATTTCCTTTTAACCCATTCCCACTCCACCCACTTGCTATCCTCCCTATAGAAGAGAGACCAAGCAGGGTCACATTCAAGAATTTCATAGAGGGAGTCCCGTGAGGGAACTATCTCCACAATGACTTAAGAATTTTTAAGCTTTTCTGTTAATGTTGTCTTGGGAACGAGATTGCTGTGTTTTGGTTTGATCTTTGGCTTTATGGAGACTTGGCTTCTTTACCATCTCCTTTAGTGGGAAGGGAGGAAAAGATTACGCTGGGGTTTGGGCATTGCTCGCTAAGGAGCTGAGGCTCCTGTGGCTTCACTATGGATGGAGTCCTGTGCTGTCATCCTGGAAGAATTCACTCCCTAATTGGAGAAGACACCACATTGTTAAGACCTGGGCGATGATTATGTGCTCTGGTGGGCAAGGAGTCCATAGATCAGCTAGTTCCATCGCACCAGATGTAGCTCATTCCTCCATTAAAGATGGCACCCTGCTCCACTGCCATCTGAGAGGTGGGATGCAGAGCTAGAAGTCCACAATCTGCATCTGAGAGAGAATGCAGGGGTTCTCAAACTTTACCATGCATCATGCTCACCGAGAGAGCTTATTAGAGCTGGTTATCACCCCAAAGCCTCTGCTTCAGTGGGTCTAGAATGTGGCCTGGGAACCTGCATTTCTAATGAGCTACCTGATGTTGCAATGTTGCGTTGAGAACTAGTGTTATAGAGGTTAAGAGAGTGTGGTCTCTGGAAGCAGGCAGGTTTGAACCCTGCCACTGGCTACCTATGTGACACTGGGCAAGTCTCAAACCTCTTTGTGCCTCAGTCTCCCCATGTGCAAGACAAACATAACAGTCATGGCACCTGCCTATCACATGGGGCCATTATGGGGATTAAGAGAGCCTCCTTGTGTAAGGCACTTAGAATATCACCAGGCATATAAGTGCTCTGTAGAACTTTATTCATCTTAATCCAGGTCTCATTCAACATGTCAGAAACACAGATTAAATCTAGAAGTGCCTGGACCTTCCATCAGGATTGGAGATTGGGCCCAGGAATGGATATATTTTTAATCTCTTTAGATAATTCTGACATGTGTCCAGTGTGGAGAACAAAAGACTAGCTTTGTATCAGGGCCTGAGGACTCTTGTTGATCCTGGTTTTGTCTGCAAACCCAGGCTCTTTGTCCTAACCTAGAAGATGCTCCTGCTTTTACTTTGAAACGTTTTCAGAAGCCCTTAGTTGTCTGTGAGAGCTTGGATATGGTTTGTTGCCACCAAACTCACATTGAAATTGAAGCAAAGGGTACTGCTAGCCGCCAGGGCCTTCAGGGCTAAGTAGGCCATGAGTGGGGTGGAGGTAGTCCCGTGGGAGTGGGTCGTTATCATGGGTGGCTCTCTGGGCTGCTTTCTTCTCCCCCTTGGTGAGCAGCCCTTGACCCTCACCAGAAGCCGATAGATGCTGGCACTATGCTCTTGGACTTCCAAAACTGTGAGCTACTTTAGCCTCTTTCCTTCAGAAACCACCCAGCCTCCGGTGAAGCTGGCATTTTGTTATAACAGAAAACAGACCAAGAGGGTCCCCAAAGAGAACTGTTTACATGTGAATGGAGGTGGGGGAACCCAGCAGTATTTCACTTTCATGAAAACATTGAAACTTGACAGGAAGGAGAGGGAAGGAAGGGGGGTACTGGGGGAAGAAGTCAGATGCCTGAAGCAACTTTTGAGGTTGGAGTCCTTTTTAATGCTTTACATCTGAATGCTTCTTCTGCCTTTCATTTTGAAATATTATTTATTTCACAGTCAATTAAGACCATGTGTTTCTGATTTGTTAGCACTCAACTCATCAAAACGTTACTTGATGTTGAAGAAATTCATGTTGACTCTCAAAAAAAAAAAAACTTTTTTTTTTCCCTCCCTCTCACGGCCCCAGGGGAAAAGGTGAATGGAAAATTAAATCTACATTGCTTCCTCTTCAAATTTGGATTTGCCGGGTGGTTAGTTGAGACTGGAAAAGAGGGGGGGGGGCCACTTGTTTCTAGGGGCCTTTCCTTTAAGAATGGTTTTTAAATCTCTTTTATTGGACCTGTCCCAATGTCTCTTTCATGGTGGGTGATTATACTAGAAGCCCAAGAGAGGGCACATGATCCCGTCTAAGCTCTTGTGACAAAACGTTAGCAGAAGGTCAATATAAAAAATTTAAGGTTTTTCATTTCCTTTCAGGCAAGTTCCCCCAGCCTGAACCATCGTATTTCTAATTTTCTTCCTTCCTCCCTCCCCTTCCATTTCCCACTTCACTTCTCCCCCCCCCCTCCCAGGCTATACACCCAGCGGTTTTAAAGTCTTGCTTTGCTAAATTTGCCAGAGGTGGTTTATGTAATTGAAAACAAGGTGTGGTGAACAAACTCTCTCTCTGTGTGTGTATGTGTGTGTATGTGTGTGTGTGTGTGTGTGTGTGTGTGTGTGTG